GTTGGTCGTACGGGAAAATTGCATAGGACCTTTCTTGTAGAGGACGGCGAGATCTACAATTTCCATGTAAAAGTTCTTCGCTAACATCAATAGTTTACGAATAATTTGCAAAAAACTGTTTTTTCGTTTTTCGTTAATAACTCGTTAAATATTAATGCTAGCGAAGAACTTTTACATGGAAATTGTAGATCTCGCCGTCCTCTACAAGAAAGGTCCTATGCAATTTTCCCGTACGACCAACGGTTTAGGAGTAATTGAGGAAAAACGAAAATTTTTGTCAAAAGTTCGTCGTTTCGACGCTGGGATGGTCGGATTTTGTTAACATCAATAAAATGCCAAATAATCATACGTAACTCGTTAAATATCGAAGTTAGAAGGAAAACAACTTTTATTTGAAGCATTTTTCGCAAATGGGATTGACTGTATAGCCAATACATCCTTAACTGACCTAATGCCTGAAACATTTAAAATGTGTGATATATCTGTTACTTTTCATTTAGCACTGCTATCATACGTTTGTTAATTGCTAATAATTTAATTAATGCTTAAAACATATTCACTGTGTGATATAGGTCCTGCTACTTTTTATTTATCACTATTTTTTCTATGCATCGAATCTAGTAAACATTTTCGTACATATGTATCCAAGTTGTTCGCAAAGTTCTTCTGTCTTCTTGCTCGGCGTTGGCTTTTCTCGTTAATCAGTTCACTCTTCCTGCACATTATTTGTTTCCTACTCCATTTGTTTGTTGATAAAACGCTTGAAATATTTGAACCGTGTGCTGCTTGGTCCGCCAGATTTTGTTTAACACCGCTTGTCTGTGCATCAAATCCTGTACAAAATTTTCGTACAATGATATCATCCAAGTTGCCCGATAAGCTGGTGCTAATAAAAGTTTTTCACATTGCCCGTAATGTACAGATTCTAAAACCGTCAGAGAAGAAAGCGAAATATCAGTACTTAAGCTTGAACACGGGTCAGGCCACGAGACCATCCACGCCACAAAGGAATCCATCCAAAAAGAAATGACAGCCTTGCACTCGGCTTTTCCTACATTTAAGGAAACTCGTCGACAAGGCGACCAAGTTTCTATTAAGACGCGAACACTAAAAACAGAGCATAACATTGTATGATATGTTCTATCACTAACTAGCGGTTATGCCAAACAAATGAATAGAGAGAGAGAGAGAGAAAAAAAACAAAATTAACAAAAAAATAGAAAAAAAAACAGAGAATGGAGTGGTTAAGATGCATAGTAGTGGTATTGATCGTCGGGTATGATTGTGATTGTTAAAGACTTTTCGAGGAGCAAAAGGCAGTTTTAATTTCTGTTTTCTTAGCATTTTAAGTATGTAATTATTACTATTATTATTATTATGATTACTATTATTATGTTGACTGATTAGTGATTAAATGGTAATCGGATAGAGAGAACTTGTTGCCCGAGTGAGCTTGCTGCGGAACATTTAAAAAACGAAGAAAAACGATAAAAAAAAAAGATAATGAAATAATATCGACTTCGCTAATGCCTTTGTTAGTATTAATTTTCGCGTGAAGACGTCAAAGCTAGCGTGTAAGACTTACCTCTTCACTTAACATCTCTAAGATAAATAATGATATGATAATTAAAGAGCGACGCTTCACTCCGATTCGGATCAAGGATCACTTCCGTGTTCTCTGGGAAAATAGTTTATCGCGTATCTTCGAGATTCCGGGTGGTCCTGCGCTCGCGACTAGCGTTTAAACAGACATTCTTATTTATTGCTTCCACGTTAAATGTTTAGTGTAATTACGCTGACGTATTCCTAATCGATTCCTTTAACTATTAATTACATCATCGCAGCCGATTCGATTATTATTACTATAGTTCGATGGAAATATCGCGTTGCACTTTGTACATAGATCTTTCATTTCGTTCTGCATTTGTTTCTTTCTCCTTCGTGTTCAGAAAGGTTCAAATAATTTAGCTCGCAGTATGCCGAACTATGAACAGCACGTTCCATCGTACTTCTTAGGGTCGTTAGATATCATCGGTTATTTCCTAACAAGTGCTATCTCAGATTTCGATGAAACTTCAAATCGATGAACAGTCAAATGTAAGTTTTTTAATTTATGAACGGTATAAAATACGACCAGATTCTATTCTCGTTTGTAAATAAAATTTCTTACTTATTATCGGTGTACTTTAGTTGATCATTCATCGAATTCTGCAAGTTTCACAGAAGTCTGGGTATTGCACGTGAGCCAGAAACGAGGAATCAGAATGAAAATAAGAGAACCAGTATTTTTAAGACGGTCATTCTAGGCAGATTATTATTATCGTCTTTATTCGAAGGACGTACGACCGAGAAACGACAAGGGAATTATATAAATATATATAGAAAATTGAGAGGTTTCTTCGGACGCAGGATATGATTCTGATGTAAGAGGAATCTCAGACGCCGAGAGAGGTTTTCATCTTGCGATTAAAATAAGTGGAATGTATATTATAAATACGTGTATATTTAACTGATCTACCAAGATACCAAATCGTTGAAATGCAATTAAAATACACTTTCTATTGGACGACAAGAGAAACTATATACGTGAATGATCGTAGTTTATACGAAAATTACTATTTCACTTTCAGATCTCTTTTACATCGCATTTAGTTTTATCATTTCAACACAGTCGAACGCCAACGTGCTTAAATAATACCGATCGTACTTGATGCTACGTTAATACAATAATAATATGTTTTCTATGTTGTGCAATAAAACAATTTAGTTCATGTACCTAAAAATGATTTGAATGCTGTATAGCGTGTGTAGGGAATATGCAAAAGGATTTAAACTAGACCACTTGACGAAAGAGTTGAATCACATTAGACTGTATCATCGGGATAAGAGTTTACAGTTGGAGAAAATGACGAGAGCGTATGAACGTATTATCTGAAAGTGAAATAAATTGAATGGGACACGTCGTCGTTCGGCACGATAAACGTGGCGTGACGAGAATTTGTTCATACTAGCATCTATAATTTATGTTTGTTAATGAAATTGTTATTTAAGGGGGTGAGAGCGAGGACTTATTTCCTGATCGATTTATTATACGAATTGTTGAGAAGAATAATAATGAACGAGGGCTGTACGATCATGTTCGACGAAGTTATATCGTTTTAAGTATTTACTCCTCGTAGCATTTACGTAATCTTTACACAGGTCGCAATGATTTAAGCCATTCTTTCTCCCTTCTGTACCAACTAACGTTCCCCCGTTTCTTCCCCTCGACATAAGTTCAATTGTAAAAGAAGCGGTTGTGATCCCTCGACGATACGTGTTTTATCCGAGGCTCATAAATTGTACACACAGACATACATACAATCATCTTGCGATTAAAATAAGTGGAATGTATATTATAAATACGTGTATATTTAACTGATCTACCAAGATACCAAATCGTTGAAATGCAATTAAAATACACTTTCTATTGGACGACAAGAGAAACTATATACGTGAATGATCGTAGTTTATACGAAAATTACTATTTCACTTTCAGATCTCTTTTACATCGCATTTAGTTTTATCATTTCAACACAGTCGAACGCCAACGTGCTTAAATAATACCGATCGTACTTGATGCTACGTTAATACAATAATAATATGTTTTCTATGTTGTGCAATAAAACAATTTAGTTCATGTACCTAAAAATGATTTGAATGCTGTATAGCGTGTGTAGGGAATATGCAAAAGGATTTAAACTAGACCACTTGACGAAAGAGTTGAATCACATTAGACTGTATCATCGGGATAAGAGTTTACAGTTGGAGAAAATGACGAGAGCGTATGAACGTATTATCTGAAAGTGAAATAAATTGAATGGGACACGTCGTCGTTCGGCACGATAAACGTGGCGTGACGAGAATTTGTTCATACTAGCATCTATAATTTATGTTTGTTAATGAAATTGTTATTTAAGGGGGTGAGAGCGAGGACTTATTTCCTGATCGATTTATTATACGAATTGTTGAGAAGAATAATAATGAACGAGGGCTGTACGATCATGTTCGACGAAGTTATATCGTTTTAAGTATTTACTCCTCGTAGCATTTACGTAATCTTTACACAGGTCGCAATGATTTAAGCCATTCTTTCTCCCTTCTGTACCAACTAACGTTCCCCCGTTTCTTCCCCTCGACATAAGTTCAATTGTAAAAGAAGCGGTTGTGATCCCTCGACGATACGTGTTTTATCCGAGGCTCATAAATTGTACACACAGACATACATACAGATATTATATTTGTAAACGACTGGGCTAGCCGCGGTTCGACGAGGCCAGGCGACTCGTCAAATAAAACACTTGTTGCGTCCGTCGGATCTCGGCTGAACGAGCCAAATGCAATGAGCATCCTAAAGATGTAAAACTTTCAGATAATAAACATGCATATTGTTGTACAAACCTCTGCCTCTCCGATCGTGAGCGAATGAGAGGGAAGCGTGAGGTGGGTGAAAAGGGAGCGAGGAATCGGAAGGAGTTTCGAGAACCAAATAAGACTCGTATTAAAATTTGGGCAGTGTTTTATTTTATTCGTAGACACCACGAACGAATAGTACAATAAAACATGGTGGCGAGAAACGTTAATAAATAAAACTCCGTGGACGATGATACGCGCTGTTGCGAGAAATAAAATAATCAGGCGATAGGTATCGAATTGCTCAGGGGACGACGCGAACGATCGTTTTTCATATCCATTTTTTTCTATATTTTTCCGTGAGTTTGCTCGGTAGCTTTCGTCGGTTTTTTTCGTATCACGCGTTCCATGCGGGGCGGACACAGTCATCAGTAGGCGTGAGCTGTAAAAAGATTTATCGATCGTTGAAAAATCAATTGGCAAGTAAAACGAGCCATTGGCTTCGAGGGTTCTAATTTACCAAACCTCGTATTGAACAATCGAATACATTTTTTTTATGTCATTTTTAATCTGAGCTTTTTTTTTAGAACCCTCGAAACGTGAACACAGGCATGTACACATCTAGTAAGAATTAGAATTTCTTTTCAACGGACAGAGGATAGGAGTAATCTGTACACGATGAGAAAGTAGTAGACACGGATCGTGTTTCCGGTGTCCGTCGATGTCTTTGGTAACATCTAAAGCTGTTGTGTTAAATCTGAAGATCGTTTGCAAACACAAATTATTTAACAGTAGCTTCCAGATCGCGGAAGTTCCTGTTTCCAGTGAATCGTATGGTTCGGTCTTTCGTCGATATTTACACATTGTCTATTATCTCATATAGAAATTAATAGAAATCCCATGTCACAAAAGATCCAGCTAGGATTTTCACAGATCGTTCAAATGTAATTGTAATTATGTTTGTAAGAAGTGGAGATCACCTGTTGTGGTTGAATTTCGTAAAAATGGGATTCCTAGTACATATATTAGTCGAATGGTATGTATGTACATATAGGAGCGAGTTTGATAGAAAACGATCTATTAGAAGGATCATAGTAAACCCAGGCACGTAAGTCACGTACAAAAAGATGCAGACAAGTCTGTAACGACCTTTCGATTTTGATTCGACTGGACAGTCGAATTTCGAATCGAGTGTTTTATGATATTTGATGATGATGACATGTAATGACACGACGAGCTACATACGTAATGTTCTTCTCGATCGATTTCTCATTTATTTCGTTTCGGTCAATGTTACTTTTGTTATGTTTAGCTGCGCGTTAATTGATCAAATACGCCTCGTAGCCAGAGATATGTACAGCGTTTCCTCTCCTGATTATTATTCGTTCGCATAATTAAACGACGTGTGAGGGTGACAGAGGGAGCAAAACACTTGGCCACATTCTAATCTTATCGCTCACTTTTTTTCTTAATACGTGGTACGTTTATTGTACCACGGGGTGGTAAAGTGAAATCGTGGAACTGGCTGCGAATAATAGTAGTATAACGCTCCTGAAATACAACAGACATATTCTAGATGCACATCATTCACGTTCAGCAATAAGTCCTTTTTTCTTATTCTCCGATCTACCCGATTTATAATTAATTCTCGAGTCTATTCTATATCAATTTTTATAAGCTTTCAATGCTGTAACGATCGATCGACGCGCGCGTCTACGTGAACGTATTGTTGGGAAAATAATAATCTTATAGCGAGTGAATGGCTTCGGGGTGAAGCCTGTTTAGGGTAACACAATCTACCGATGTCAACGATTCTCTTATCGGAGTTAGTGACCGGAGACTGCATACTGTCTTGCATTTTCATTTTAATTTACCCCGGCGAGCACCTTTTGTGCAAAAAGATAGAATTCGTACAAGTATTTGTGTCTTACGTATACAGGGTGTCCCAGAAAATGTATTACAGCCGAAAAGGGGTAATTCTGAATAACAATTTCCTTTGGTAAAATGCAAAATGAGCCATGGTTTTTTAATTATTAACGAAAAGCACTCACCAATGAGAGTTCGTGATGCTCAGTCGTGACTTAGCGCGGCTCTTATTGGTCAGTGTTTTTTGTTATTAATTTAAAAACACTTACAGAATCACCTCTCATCGGCTCTTCTACTGGAAAACTCTGTATGTGAAATCGTTTTAGTAACATTAAATACTGCATTTTTTAGGAAATTGTTATTTAGAAACATTTACAGAATCAAATCTCTTCGGCTTTGATACTTTTTCTGGGTCACCCGGTATAATTAGGTGCAGACTACGCATTTTTATGCAATTATATTTAATTATTATCATTAATTATTTTTTACATTTTGTTATTTATATAATTATATATAATTAAATAAC